GAGACAAGAGATGTACAACTTTCAGGGAAACAACTAAGCCAATGACCTCTATGATCGTCAACTTCATTTTCTTGCAAATCCAGCTCCCTAAGAAACCTAGAAAAAAATAACAGCAAAGCAAGAAAGAATTACAAGCCCCACCTTAAAATGCTATGCTGTCACATTCCCAAAAGTCAGAATATTGTGAATACTTATAGCACTACAAAACCACCAAGGAAAGGAATCAATGAGTGATTATGGATAAATCAAAAGAAGATGTATTCAGTGGACAATCAAAATTCAGAAGTAGCGTTTCTTGATTTGGCAAAGACCTGCAGCTAAGAAGTTGCAAAATATGGATTGCCAAAGTGAAACCTTTGCCAGTTAAGTTGCCTGAGGACAATTCAATGATTCCAGTAGCTAACAAAAAGGAAAAAAAAAAAAAGCTGCATAATACAAAATCCAAAAACACAAACAACCAATATCTTTGACTTGCTAATATAACATAAAACTTGATTCTCATATTTTTGGCTATCAAAGGTAACATAAAACTTGCGAAATATGAATTTTAACTAGCTGCTTATTAATGATGACCACCATTACAGAGAAATTCCGCACACAATTGCTTAGCTACAAAAATATACTTTCAAGCTTAAACTTTCATAAGCACTTACAATCAATAACTAGGATCATTAGAACACTAAAACTCAATCCATAAAATAAACAGCCCACTTGAGCAAGAGAATGGCTTGAACAACTCATAAACCCAGGAAGCCAAAAAGTCAAATAACCACTAAAAATATTCATAAACATCAGGTTTATTAAAAAAAAATCTTACCTACAATTGGCAGCAATAGAAGCAATACCATCAGTAGTGAAGCCTTCACAGCTAACAAGAACCAAAGACTTAAAATTCAAAAAGGATTTCGAAAGCAGCTCAAGGCTCTCATCAGAGACCACCATCCTCTTAAGTCTAAGCTCTTCCAAACCGATTCTACTCTTAGCCAAGGCTCTGATCCAAGGATAAAGAAAGCCTCCCCAGTCATGTGGCACCAAATTGAAGTCAGCAAAATGCGGCTTCCCTTTCAAAGTCAGCGACTTCAAACCCGGGAATCTGGCGATCAACCTGTCTGGACTGATAGAATAACAGTTTCCAATGAAAACTCTTTGCCTGCTGCATCTTTCGATTTTGTACCATGACTTGCAAACTAAAGACACTGAGTTCCGGTCTTTGTGAGATGAAATGAAATCAAACACGTGCTCTAAAACTTCATCTGGGAAGTAATTCATCTTTATTGTTTTTTCCACTTCCCCAGAAACATACAGATTGTTTCCCCCTTTTTTCCCGAGAAAACCAGGGAAAAGAAAAGAAAAAAAAATGAAGACTTCACTACATGAAAAAGGTAGAGATCTTGAGGAAATCTACAAGAATGAGAACAGATCTGAAGATTTTAACTAAGACCCATAGTGGAAATTAAAAAAAAAAAAGAGCAAGCTTTGTTCTTTAAACTTTCACATCTCTTTCAAGAACCCAAGTGAAAGAGAGTGAAAAGGAGCTCGAATTTTCTCGAGAAAAAAAAAGAGATCTTTTTGGAGTGAAAATGAAGGGAAAAAATGGGTTCTTTTCAACGATCATCTTCAAGAATCAAAGAACTATAATTACATTACAGTTTCAAAGAAAACAAACAACAATCCATCCAAATTTTCATAGATCTGAAGAATCTTTAACTTCTATATAAGTGGAAAACTGAATCGAAATCTAATAATAACAAACAAGAAAGAGAGAGAAAAATTAATTTTTTTTTTAAATACACAAAAATTGAAACTCTCCCCTTCTTCCTTTCTTTTTTCCCTTTTCTTTTCCCTTGCAAAACTTGTAGGAAAGAGTTTTAACTCAGCTAGATGTGGAAGTAGAGAGAGGAAGAGAGAGAAAACCGAACTGAAGTAACCAAGGTTGGTTTTTCTAACCGTGGTTAAAAATTTTTCTAACAATGGTTAAGTTTCTTCAACGATCCAACGGTTTCTATCGTTTTGATGAGAAAATTAAGAGAATCCACACCGTCCAAAAGCGTAGCATGCATGCGTCCTTATCTCTGGTTTCGAGTCTTACTAAAGCGACCAGTAATAGGCTGTCAGAAAAACGACCTGCCTTTGCTAACTAATCACGACAATGCCATTCTGCAGATAAGGTTATTGTCCTCTCCCTCGCGCGAGAATGGATACTCGCGGGCTCCGTCGAAGACACCTCCATGTGGGAGCACAGTAGAAGCTAAGAGTGACAGATTGATATAAGATACAGCGAGTTCAGTGGTTATCGTACTCGCGCTGGTGGGTTTAGTTTACTTCTGAAAATGAACTTGGTTTTGTGTCAGTAAATTTTACTTTTTTGCTCTATTTTTCTTTACTGTCTTGGGTTTTTTTCTTTTCTTTTTTATTTTTTATTTTTTGGATGTGTTTGGATAAACTGAATCATGGGTTTCTTTTTAATGATTAGGAAATTCAGTAAAAAAGGAGCAGGAGAAAATGATTTTGACAAAATCTAAGTAAATCCTTC